ATTGCACTTTACATTTAATATTAAAATTCTGGGGAAATATTCGGGTAGTAGCGTGTAGGCGGCAGTTCGCAATTCGACGAATTTTCATTTTATTTATCGTGCGAATCGCGAGAATCGGGAAGGATGTGGATATTTAATATGATGTAGGAAAAGTTTTCAGGTATATATTATATTATCGGAAGAGTTCCGACTGCATTGTGCCAAATAGCAGATGTTAATGTAGACATACGTAGATTATAATAAACGATATTTCATGGACGTGTGGTGGTCGAGATAAGTCTTTATCTTATTTGATTTCAGATTGCAGAAACAGAATGACATGAATCTCAATATTTCAGTTTATGTGCAGTTTGAGATAAGAAGTGAAGATAATAGAGTGTCATGATAGAGAGGATCTTGAAAGGCGGGCGGCGCGCGGCGATCGAACCGCGTACCAGCTGGGCCTACGTGACTACGAGAGCGTAGGGGACACCTGCCGTCCATGGACCTGACTCGCACGCCACACTTATTTATCGCTTGTTATTGTACAACTCCACTATACGCAGAACGTTCCTTAATAGTTAACACGGATTAATAATATCAATTCACATTCTCTCAAACTATTCTCACGTCTTTATAAATCACTGCCTGTTTTGTATTTCTTTGTATTTCTTGAGCGATCTCAAGGATACCGATGTTGAGTAATAAACGACAATGTACCGTTATTGTCAGAAGGTTTAAAACGTAATTTTACGACGCTGGTTTTTCAGATGTCACCCCTGATTCTGATGTGAATGCTAAGCGAGGCACGACTTTCATAAATTGACTCGAGAAACGTTTCCTCTGTATTGCTCGTTTTATATAAAGTGAGTTTACACGTAGCATTCTTCGACCAATTCGATTTAGGTACATTTCAAAGAAATTATAGGATCAATGATTTAAATCACATTGTTTTTTTGCAAACATCAAAGGCATGTGTTTTTATTCATTCTAAGAACGGCTTGTGCTAAATAATATTTGAGAACAACGGAACTAGCGATGAATCGGTGATGTACCTGGTAAACACCGGTTCGTGAGGTGTAAATCAAATCTATATCAATGCCGAATCAAGCGTACAAACGCGCGCGTACCTATCGGTTGCATCCATAAATAGACGTTATATCTGTAAAATATAACTATTGATTTGTATTCGGCATACGCATTATTTTTCGTATTCGGGATTTGCGTCATTCACGAGGGTATGGCGGAGCTGCCCTTCAGATTTAATGGTACAACGTCACGCACATATGCTACTGACAGAACCAACTGCCGATTACTATAAACCCCTTAGAGGAAGTTAGCCAGGGTTTAGTAATCATTGTGCCAGTCGTTAAGGAACTCATACGCCAGAATTAGTTTGTTACCCAAAGCTATCAAAGGTCACACAGGACCAACCCTGACATTTACATGGAGGCAAGGAAAGTTCTCTTATTGAGGTTTGAGCTCACAGCGGGATGGCTACAAATGAGGTAATCAAAGAGTTGAGATGAATATAAAGTTACCCTTTCGCTTCGAATGAAAACAATTTCATATTTCTGTGATGAGAAGAATCTAGATGTTGTTTGACGTATTTTAACCTTAGAAATGCTTGTGTTATCGTCAACTACAAGAGTAGCATACGTGTTCAATCAAAAGCTCTTTTAATATTAATTTTAAAATCGTTATGTAGTCAGCCGAAAAATATTAAAGTGTTCGCGTCACTGTGACGTCAAACGCATCGATCCACCGGGAACTGACTGCTTTCCACTCGATACAAAGCTGTGCAAAGTGGTGCAGTGCAACTACCGTCCTATTAAAAGTTAAACCGTGCCCCAGTAAATAATACTTAATCGGGACAATACACAATGGCTGCCGGCCAAACAAATTCTAGGCACAGTAATTCGATAGTTGGTTTGAATCCTTCAATTTAAATTACGCCGTTCAATATTTGAGGAGCTAATGAATCTCTGTTCTAGAAGTCTTGTTTGAAGTGAAATACAACGTCCTTAATTCAATTTAAGATCGCTACAGGAACTTTCATACAGGTAATCAATTAATTACTCAGGAAAAATTAACAAGGCTGTTAAGAGATTTGAGTAACAAATAAATGATAAGTAGGTGTAAATTAATTAATTTGCAGAAAATAAATTGGCCTGATAAAAGTTGACCGAAATTCCGTCAATTATGAAAAGTATATATGAAATTATGAATAGCAAGTCTTTTGGCTTCGATATCATTAAAACTTTTCCGACTCAAAGAGGCTTTGAACATTGACGTGCGATCGAAGGCGCGGAAATTTATATTTAACTTGAGACGTGATTCAAAATATAATGTAACTAACTTTAACAAGTACAGTTTAATATTTAATGGCAGGTAATATTATTAGCTTACGGTAGATATTTATCAATAAGTACTTGGGAATCCTACCATGCCTACATACCTACTTAATTTAACTATATAATCAACTGGGATTTGATTAGGAGGTGTGTTTTGTTTTGTTGTGTCATTTTTACATTCTTATGGAAGTTTATACGTTAAAATGTAGTGTTACAATACATTACATTAGGCTTATAGACAGATTTACAAAACAGTAGTCTGACAGTTAATGTCCAAGGTCACGTCAGTTTTATTTTATATTCATATACATTTTAAATGGGTTATTAATATTGATGGTTAGAACATTGCTTATTTCGAAGGCTTTTTATTATTCGTAGAACGGTATGTTATTCACTCAAAATACTTGAGAGTGGACTTTCCATTATTTCGATGGTAAACTATTAGGTAAAAAACTGGTTCCGTGAAGAGGTCAGGTAATTCCTAGAGTTGGTCATTGCGAGATGTTTTTGTCAATAAAATTTGGAGAACAATTTGAAACGTCTTCTGTTACTATACGGAATAAATAAGGATAAAATTCTATTTTTATTGTCTTATTTTTTAATGACTGTTACCCAATAAAAATGTGTAGAGAAAGACAAGAGTAAGGACCTTATTACTTTTAAAAAAGCAGAGAAGTGCTGGAGCTCTTAGGAAGGCTAAAAGAAGTCGATTCAAACGAATGATCCACGCGTACCCCACTCGAGATCACAAAGCCCTCACATGGAAATTAAATTAAATATATGTAAAAGGCGTTATAGACGTTAAGCGATTCTAATGGAACATCACCGACCTAAACTAATACACCTATGCACATACAATGATAAGTATTTATAAAACCTATGTATGTAATTCACAAGTTCCCTCTTAAACCGGTAAGTTTCCGTAGTCAATGGATAATCCATGATGTTATCACGTTTATATGCATTCGTTTCATTCGCTATCCATTCATAACTGAGGTGATTTATGTAATTGCAACATAAAAACATGTGTACAGCTGTGTACGTGAGCGAGGCTTGGCAATTATACTGATTATTACCCCAAGTTTAGAGTAAATAAATAATAAATCTAGTCATTTGCAGTTCCAGTTATAAATGACTTATGATTTCAATACTAAATAAATATTGACGTTTGAGGTCAAAGGTCATGACTTATTTCGTAATAATTTCAGCTGGTCATGTCATGTCACGCCACAATATTTTTCGGAATTCAAAATTTCATTATTTACGTAAGTAGAAACAATGTTTGAGTGAATCAAATTCATACATAGCCACTGAAGAGAGGAAATCCTACGCTTCGGGTTAAGTATTTGCGGTTTTATAAATCATAGTCTTCATTTATTTAAGTTTATAGCTCCACATATTTAATTAAGGAACTATTAAAAGAATCGTTTGCCCAACAATATGTTATAACGAGACTTGATATGTAAAATTTCCAACATTCAATAACATACGTGATGCAGTGCACGTGCTGACATTTTAGAGAAAGTTCTGTGTTTCATTGTAGCGAGACAGTTAATTCTTACAATTTAGAATTTCTCTGAAAGATATTAAGGTCGATTTACGATTGACGATTAAAAATTTTGCCAAGCAACAATCGGTCGGTTTTGTGAGAATTCGAATTTTCCTCATAGATAGTGCGTAAAGATTATAAATAGTAAATAAAGACGTTTGTTCTTTGTTTTTATGTGCGTTTCTATAGAATTTAAGATGAACAACAGAGATTGGCACGACTCGGGGGTACTTTACCGTCTAAAGTGACTGTGATAATTCTAGCGAATAACCATCATGAATCATGATAAGACATTTAATGATAGTACATTGTCTCCCAAATTCCATAGCTATTACCTAAATACATTACAATTCATGATACATTGTGTACCCATTCCGAGATTTGTATAATTTATCAGATTTCAAATAAATTGCGCTATCTGTGTATGTATTTTAACAGTTGCCGATTGTAATATTTTATGCGTAATTTAATGACATTCTGGGCTACTGTTCTAGTAACTCATATTTGTAATATAGCCTATATACTATTAATAACGTTAATCTTAGATATGTGTGTGTAGATAGTAATCGTTGTTCTACTTTTAATGTTTAATTAGAAAGCCGCTGGGCCGAGTTTTATTAACTGCAGTTTTAAACGGATTGATAAAAAGAATGACAAGGAAAAGTCATTAAATATTCGATAGTATCGGATTTGAAATGCATGTGTTGTCGAGTTTCTGCGGTACCCGGTTAGGAAGCTAACGAGGTTAACTATCGGGTTCAGAGTGACAAAAACTTATATCAGGGATAACAATCAATATTACGTTACATTTAAAAATAAATATCCTCATAGCTTCCAAACCGAGCTAAAACCGAGACAAAGTTCGTTTTTTATCAAACGTATTAAGATTATACTCTAGTTTATGACTATTGAGTCATATTTATTTCTTTTCAATCACTTGTAGTTTATCACTGATACGAAACAGGATACTCGGAGGATAAATATTAAGATCAATCTCTTGTTATAGCTTCTGACATAATAATCAGTGTTATAAATATTTCAAGTAGGTATCGTGTTGTTTTCAGTGATAAAGTATTGTAGTGAATCCGTATAATATGTTGTAGGCTGCAGTTACTGACCTTGAGCGAAGCCATATCGGAGACGGAGCGGTGTGTTTGTATGGTCTCCAGCTGGTCCAAGCACCAGTCCAGCTCCTCAACCGTTTCTAAGGCTAGCTTCATGTAGGCTTCGTCTGCAACAAAGAGAATTACATTCAACTATTGTTATAAAACAAGAAATATTGCGATGTTGGACATCTGTGAACATCTCAAAATCGATCAAATCAAATGCAACAAATTACTTAAATTACTGCTATATTACAGTAATACTGTCTTAAGATAAAAAGCCTACATGTTCCGCATTAGATATCGGACAAAACATTTCATTTATTACCACTAAGAAGCATGTATCAATATGAAAACAAAATCTGTGATCTCGGAACTTCAAATGTGAGTGATAAAACAATAATTAATAGATAAAATTAATGATGTTGATAAAAATGTTTTTATAATTCTGTAATGTAATAAAAATGATGGATATATGTATGAGTATAACATTTGTTGTAAACCTTGTAATGAACATTAAATGACGAATAATTGTTTTTCATTGAAGGATAGGATCTGTGATTATTTTCACGTTGTTTACGTGTGATGTGGACGACATTACGGTGATCCCGTGCGTCACATACTACTGTCTGATCAGATGGGGTCTGAGAGTGTGACCTATTTTAATGTAAATATTGATAACTAGAAGTCTGCTGTAGACGGATCTACTAGATGCTAAACGTGCAATTCGTAGAAATGTGGCTGCTTTAAATTGTTGCTAACAATATGAAGACCTCTTGTTTATCTCAAGCAGATAAGTTTAGGAATAATAATATATACAATACTTTGTATTGTAGCTATATTTTGGGAAAATGTTGTGTCCTTTATTCTAGAGGCTTACAAATACATAAATATTAAGTAAGCCGGTTTATAGTAGGCCAGTCGGAGATGCGAGTTAAGTGCAATAGTACTGCAGCCTTGGCCTGAAACAGGAGAAGGAATGGGGTGGATTTTAGTCAGTAAGAGTCTAGTCTATTGCACCATCCACGACGAGAGAAGTCATTAGACGAATTTAAAAAAAATCACTGAATGCCTTATTTTGTCCTTTTAGGCAGAGAAGGAATGTTCCTAATGAATGAAATAGGATTCGGTAGGTATTTCACCAATTATAATTAAATGTATCATCGAAAACAACAATATAATGTAAGGATGTAATCAAATACAATGTAAATAATGGAATAATCGGTGTATTGTTTACCAGGAGTGGCTTATTTCCATTGTGATAAAATTCCATACATGAATTTATAGGTAGGTATGGTGCAGGAATAAATGGCCACATTTTCCTGCTTCTGGATACAAACAGGATCGTAACAATGAATATGAAAATTGTTTACATTAATAACACATTTGGGTCGAACCGTTTAAGTGTTTGGGTGATATATCTTTGGAGGTAAAATTTTCTGCAAAAAATTCCAATGGATCAATTGATGACCTTTACATTCATATTCGGATTGTTTATAATAATATTATTATCAAAACGTAAACGGAAAAAATGATAGCAAGAGGTCGAGGATATTGTTTTGTTTAAAATTCGTTGAAATATGTATAATATACTTATGCATACATGCATATAATGAAGTACTGAACTAAAAAACAAAAGAAAGTCTATGTAATGTTTACGATGTATATTACGGGCCCTTAAGATAGTGCGGGTACCACGCGAAGTCGTTACTCTAGCCGGCGTAATGAGCCCAGCTTAGACGAATTACACTAGAGCCCCACCGCAAATTGTTGTGTAGGAACAAGGCCGAGTAGAATGCGAGATTAAAAGAAGAATAGGAAGCGTTGACCCCTCATCCTAACCTAGGGTTAATAACCTTTCTACTTTTTGTTCATAAAACGAGGCGAGAGGCTTCTTTGTCAGGGCCGCGTACTCTCGGGACCCATAATGTACTGAACAGATCATTATTAAGATTAAGTACCAGCAATCTCAAATCTCCCTGCAGCCTTTGTTATTACAGTTAAGTTATACTCCCCATGGAAACATGAAATAATGAAGCGAATAAAATATTGAAGCAGCATTCTTTGTTCTAAATCTGTGAAAACCTTGATTATCATTAACAAATGTTAGCGAAGAAGCAAATATTTGTTTGACAATACTTCGCAGGCGCAGTGACGAGTGCTTTTAAATACAACATGACAAATATTTAACTGACAGAGGAAAAATTGTTTCTGTACAAACGGCAACATGATGAAAAATGTGAAATATCGTAGAGTGATATAGCTCATGGTTACGGCCTCCAGCCACAACAGAAACTAGAGCATACTAAATTAGCTAGCAAGTCATCAAAGAACTTAAGCGTGTAGAAGATAATCACTAATGAAAACATTCTACATAATGAATGTAACAAGGACTTGCAAAGATATATTTGTGATCAAGGTTTCATATTACCCCGAGTAAATAATACTGAAAACAAATGAACTTCCGACTCGCTAATTGTAATTGCCAATTGTGTCAAAGCGAACATTTGGAAACAACAAAGTTAAATCATATAAGTACATGCCTACATCGGCCTACACGTTGAAAGAACGAAAACAGTTTCTTTGAAGTCATTGAAAATAGGATCAGGGGACAAACAAAGCGAAAAAACGGCAACTGACTGTGACACAGTTACAAAAATACAATATCGTTTCCGCATTAGTGGTCACGGCTTGATCGAAATAATCGGCAGCTATTTAAAGTGTAGTAGTAAATAAACATTTTTACATTTCCCTCTAATCACTTAACCGTTCGATAATCGATTGATACAATTATTTACGCGGCGGTGCGGAAAAACTGCTTCATACGTGCTGACACGAGAATGGGAGAGACGTGAACGGGGGCTTTAGGTGTACCCTATTATTTTTGTATTATGAAAAAGCAATGTAAGGGATGTGTATCATCCGTGACATGAGTGGCGGTTACAGCGACAGTGGCCTACATTACAGGTTTTCCTGACAGCTTGCGTCCTGAATACAATTCATGACGGGGCCAACATTGCCACTCATTAGTACCTGTCACGCTCCAAATAGAAGCGGCACGTTTCTGTCATTAATAAATTCCGAGAGCTTTGTGAGAACATTTTATTTTTTTAATATTTAATATATTATGCTCATGTGTTTGCGCTCTCAAATTACAAATATTAATATCCGCTCATGATGCTAATATCTCTGTGAATAATAAAGTTTGTAAGTTGTTAAGCAGTCTAATTATTTCAAGTTAAGTCGGATAAATGTGTCAGGTTTTATTTTATTACACACCCCTTGTGACATTTTATGACACACCCCCCTTGACAAGTTATCACACCGCATTTATTACGTCATAATTCATGACACTTAGTTCGAACTGAAGCCGGCGTTGTGACGTATTACAAGTAACAGGTGACGTCATTATGGCGGTAGAAATCTGCTTATCTTTTTTAATGACTATGTAAGGAATTGACCAAATACTTTTTAAAAACAAACGAGTATTTGCGATATTAGTTACTAATGACTATTATAAAAAAAGTTGACTCAAAAGAAACTACGGGCTAGTCATCTTACTATCTAGGTCAGCTTAAAGGGTTTTTCCTTTGCAGTGGAAACAATTAACAATATTATTTATCATTCGAATTAATAAGAACAAACTACTCACATTTAATATCGTTCCGACCACAACAGAGTAAGTAAATTAATCTAAGTAACATCACAGAACATTGGAAAACTATCACAGATTTTGCAGTCACATTGTTGCAAATTGTTAGAAGCACTTTACCACAGTACAGCTGTCGTAAATCACTCAAGTTTTTAAATAGTACATAGAAACAAACGTACGGAGTACAGTGTCAAAAAGACACTGAAGAAGCAGCCGAGATGTCTTCAACCAAGCGACAAACATATTGAAGATGATAATTGTTATATCACGATTTCTGGTCATTTTCCTACCAAAAATGGCTATTGTCAAAAAAACAATATAATATGCCTTATTTATAACTTTGTTAAATGTTTCACACAACCGTGTGTTTATATAAAAGGTTGAAAGAGTAATGACTTGAAAGGACAATACTGAGCTTTATATAGTTCAATGTGATGCGTCATTGAACCACAGGACAAGGTCGATATTCTAGAATAAATAAAATAATTCCTATCTCACTAGCACCATTTATTTATTCCCTGCTGAGATTTTCAAAACCACAGAGAAAATAAATTATTTTTATATTTTAATACCTATGTAATTTAACTAAATAGGTAGGTTATAGTAAAACTGACCAAACTCAACAGGGAAAATTTTTTGTAGCTACGAATCCACTTCAATAAACTGTATCCAAATAGGTATGAACGAATTATATTTACATGTACAAATTGATTATTCATTTGCATATAATAACAATATTTCAATGCAGTAAAGAGACAATTTTAGTCTTACTATGAGTAAGTACCCATACAATAGGTAAGGTCTGAAACCTTCATAAACTCGTGTACATAACTCCAATGCTAATTCAGTCTATAGTTGTAGTGGAACGTAAAACCGAAATCAGATTGTTTTAACACGTTTCACGGTGACTGAGTTGTGTCAACTTTGGCTTAATTAAACGGGACAGTGCCAGCTACCCCGAAGCTTCGCTTAAATTATCCAGGTCCGAACATGAACACTGTTTTCGCTACCTATCTTACTTACAACGCTTATCTACAAATCTGACAATCAGCTTTTGAAAGCGGAAGACTATTGATTAGGTACTTGTTGATTCAGGCCGTGAGCTAAGATATATTTCTGAGAAATGTACCTACATTTTTACAATCCAATTTCAAAATGAAAACAAATTATAGATAATATTTTGCGGAAAATAAGAATGTACCTACACTTTATTTGATAGTCATTCAACAAAATTTATATGTAGTTCCAAAGGAAACTATTCCAAGTTTTCTTTTTCCATTGAATAAAAGAAAGGAAAATTTCGTGGGATTACCGTGTCTGGCTTCTGCTAAAGGCGGCGTACAATCCAATCACGAAGGATTATGGATTCTGTTAGGAAGTACAAAATAAATAAACGCGTACCTACAAGATAAACATTCCTTCTGAGAACTTTACTTGAATTTGTTAGTATTTATTTAAAAAAAGTCCAACATCATT